TGCTCTCGCAGATTGTTAATTAGGTGTTAATATCTGCAAGGGGCCACAGCAAGCTCCTACACCTGAGGTCATTTCTCAGAAGTCAGGCTGTCTCCGGTGACAATACCTGTAATTCCCATAGCTAGTTTGATTCCCACTCAACAGCTGGAGCTAGTGTTTCTTTCATGTCTGGTTTCATTTCCTATCTGAAATTATACGAGTGCTAATATCTTTATTATCTTTGCCGTGGAAGTGCAGTGCTGGAGCAGGGCACAGCGTGTTGTTCATGGGCTTGCTTTCTTTCTTTCTTTTTTTTCTTTTTTTCTCACGGCATTTTCAAAACATTTCAAGCAAAAATCTTTACGGTTAGCAAATTTACAGCTGAGGACTCCATTACGGATCGGGAGGGGTAGAAGGTAGGAGGGAAACAATAATAATTTGGGGATGGAAGAAAAGAAAAGCTGCACAACTGCTGAATGATAATGGCTCGAACCTTGGGAAATAAAGGTAATGGCAGGAAGGGGAGGAATTACAAGGACAGTGTGACCTCTACATGTCTTGCAGGTGCACAGGAGCTATTCCACATATGTGTGTGAACGTATAGGTATTAAAGATATATTGTCTTTAAGAGAGAAAGGGGGCACATAACTGAGCCATGATTTTGCCTACACTGTGACACATTCAAAATCAGGGTAAAGTTAGGTTATGTGTAATTCAGAAAATTACCAGCTCCCAAAGCACCTGATCTTTGTCCTCCTGGCCTGGTACACTCTGGAGACTAAATTCTCATCCCAGTAGAAACGATGCGTGGGACTTGGGCAACACCAATGATTTCTCATCCCAGGATACAAAGTAAGGTACATGACAAGCACTTCAATAAACAAGCTTTCATTAAAGGGCTTCAAGGAACATTACAGCTATTTTTTAACTCCCACAAAAGCCTAGAAGGTAAGAGCTAATTATCTATGTTTATAACTGTGTAAACTGAGATATAAAGAGATCAACGGTAACAGACCTTTAGAAGAAACCTCAGATAACAAGTTTAAAGTGCTTCAGTATTTTGCTGAATCTAGAATCAAATAACTGGGTCAAAGTCTCACAAGTGAGTCAGACCATGACTCCCAGCTCCTGCTTTCTTCACTCTCCAAACATTGGGACTATATGTGGAAGCCTGAGAAGTAATTTTATATGTGGGATGTTAAATCAGTACTTGTCCTGTCTCATCAATCTCCTGTATTTTGGTACAGTGTGAATCATTTGGTAAGTGGCACAAATTAGAAAACCCAGAAGAGATGTTAAAAATACTACTTTTTTTTTTTTTAGCACTTAACTTAGAATCCTTTATCAGAACTAAACAACAGCAAGAGCTTCACCATTAGAAAATATTTTAGAGCTTACTCTAAACACAGGGAAAACTATTAAATTGACTTTGCTGGGAATTTTAGGGGAGCAAAAGCTGTCACATACAGCATATACTTTCTCTTTGCTCATAAAAACTCAAGAAGTTTTCTTACTTCAGATTCACAGAAATGAGCTAGAAAGGAGTTTTATCCATAGTAAAGTTGTGCTTTTTATAAACGCTTTAGAAATTTTTTTTACCTATGTGAAATGACCTGTATATTGTACAAAATATGTTTGGGGAGAGGAAAGGGAGAGAGAGAGGTTACTATGAAGTTTTTAATCAAGAATAACATATTGCATCCCATTTGATAAAAAAGATTCTCATTTAGGCTTAATACAGCACATCTGCTTGAAAAATACATACAAGGCTCCCATTGACTGCTGTGGGAAGTTTGCCAATAATATTTCATGGAAGTTATCTTGATATCAGCCTCGGAAAATACAGACATTTTACAGGGAGTGTAAATTCAACAACGGAAAGTTAAAAATAACTTACTCATGCATAAAGAAATTTGATTGGTTTTACAGTTCCTAGCTTTAATTTTCAATTTTATCAGATGTGTGGTCTAAGAATAAAACTTAGGTGACAAGGTCTAGTTTACAGTGAAGTTGGGTGGTTTGACATTGCAGGCCATGGCCATGAAAGATGAAATGTTGTCATGGACAACACATGGACTCAACTGCACATCAAAAATACACACGAACAGCACGAGGATGAAAAAGGTCTTGCACAAAACAAAAATCTCTTTTAAAAATGCATATGAGAATGCAGGAATAGCAGTGTAAAGTAAGTAAATGTATACTTTCAGAGTGCCATGATTTCCCCTGTGTGAAAGGTCTTAGAGGCAAACTGGAAAAGGAACAGAAAATACATTTCTGTTCTTTACTGCTCCTTATTCTCCCCTTAGTTTAGGTCTCATGCATATGGGGAAATGAGGTAGTAAACTACACCACAGTGCTATCCATTCCCTGGGTGGACACTCCTACTCTAGAATAAGAGCGGATTTTCCTGGTTAATTTATTTTATTTTGAAAGCAGCTCAGCTGTATTGGTGAGGGGGGAAATCCACCCTTACTCCCAAATAAGAACATCCATCCAGGGAATTCACAGCTCAGATACTGCAGTATGAGTTCAGATTTTGCTTTTCATTAGTATGAAAAGGCTGTAGACATTCCCATCGTGGTGGAAGTGTGGAACCCAGGAATTCAAGGGGGATTTTACCAAAGCCTGCAGTGGGGCCAGTAGCCCACCCAGGACCTCTCCTCTCACCTGGGATGTAGGTAGGATGCAGTTTAGATCCCAGGGTCCACCATTGCTACATCCTGCCCTTGGAGCTCTAAAAAAGTCCTTCAGAGCCTCTTTGAAAAGTGAAACATTAAGTGTTACACACAGTGATAAAAAACAACAGATTTTTTTTTCTTGCCCTTTTTAAGAGAAGGTCCGGCTACAGTTTTTTAAGTCAGAAGAAAATTCTACTTTCCAACATCATCATGCTGATCAGGAAATAGAGGGATGTTTTGTTCCTGTTGGTTTCATGATGTTTGAGGATGGAAAAGGTCTTCTGCACCAACAAAATACACTGAAGCACAATAAAATACACATGGGGTTACATGTGTATTATGGGGTACAGATGCTGTTAGGGGTTGGAAAAGGCCTTTGGAAAATAACAGTTGCTTTGTAAAATACCACAATGTCCCCTTCGCGGTATTTTATGGGGTAGCAACGAATTTTGTTGCTGGTGTAACAGTATTTCATAAACACAACCTTTGTCCTGCAGTGCTTACTCTGAAAACTCCCAGTGATCCCACCAGGCTGGAGGACATGACATGACACCACCACCTGACCTCCACCAACCCTGCTGCCACCTGACCTGCCAGAGACCTGACGGTGAGAACCTCTTAACCAGCAACCACCAAACATTCCAGTCACACTCACAAAACGAATCGCCTTGAAATGCTAAAAGTATGCCAGAAATAACACAACTCCTTCAAAGAAGCCAAGTTAGGAAGTTAGATCATGGAAACTGCTGGCCACTGCTACAAATGTACAGTCTTAAATTCCCCCCAACCAAAATGCCTCCGTGAATATCAAGTGAGTGCACCTCCAGACAGTGGAGGATCGGAGTTTTCATATCTAAGCTTATTATTCCTAATATTGCAGAGACACTTCCCTGAATTGTCCTTCTCCTTCCCAAATTCCCCATCTGACCAGATGTCTTTCTCTCTCTTGCTTTCACCTGTCAATCATGTTCACAGCTGAAATTTGATTTCTCTCCCAACAGTTACCTTAGATGAAATATTACCATAGGGGTCAGAACTGTCTGAACCTTGCCATAAAAGTTTGTTAACTCTTCCGAGACTCAAGAGCTATTTGCTTAAAAGTAATGGATTTTGCTGCTGGTTGGTTTGGATTTTTTTTCTCTAATATGTGAAAACGTAACCACAAAATAATGGAGGAAGGTTCAAGGAATTGTCCTGGAGAACAGCAGGCTAAGCAAGTCCTGAGATCACAAGTGTTCACAAGCTTTTCTTCTTTATTATATTGATAAGAAGAATATGTATCACTGATTTATATAAACCTAATAGTCATATATATATAAATTGCAGGAAACACGAACGTTTTCCTATGGGATTATTGAAATTAGAAATGTTACACTAGGAACAAGGTGACGGAATATGTGCTGCACCTTTGCAAGGAAAATACACGCTTCGTGTATTTACTTGAGCTGAATCGTGACTTGGTTCTGTCCTTGCAAAAAGCATATTGCACTTTAAGTTTTCACAAAAAAAACCCAAAAACACAAATGGTCTGGTTTCCCTCTCATTTACAATTGTGAAATACAGAAAAAAACATGCAATTAAGACAAAACCCTACCCAGGGTGTTCCTTGAGGAAGTGAGAGGAGCATCAGGCTCAAAATGAAGCTCTTCTGGTGCTCCTTGAGAAACTTATTCCTGCAGCCCATACACCCTGAAAAACTCCTCTCAGTGCTATTTATTTTAGAGTTTAGAGCACCAATTACATCTTCCCCGTCTGCATTTAAATTTTAAATAATAAATCTATTATTTAAATTTATTTTTAAGAATAGAAAATAAATCTATTATTTTATTATTTACATTTCTTTTAAAAATAAAAAAATAAATCTATTACTTAGACAAGCCTGATTCCATGAGTTAATAAAATTCAGCTGTTTTCTAATAGCACTTAACCATCGATCAAAGCTCGGCAGGCTGCACGGCAGCCTGTGTTCTTAACTAAAATAGGAGGTTTCATAAAAAAAATTCACACAGGAATCTGTCATTGCAACCTTGGTGCTCATTTAACCCACTTAGTATTTTTATAGTCAAGGTCAATAAAAATCAGATTCCACGGGAAAAAAAAAAATAAAGTGCCTCTTTGAGTCCAGCAGGGGAAGGGATTGAAAGTTTTAATTCCCACATTTTCATTAGCGGCATATTTTTCAGTCAATGTTGACAGACTGAATGAACATGAATTTCCAGAGGAAAGCAGTGCTGTGAATTAAACTCTATTGTAATTTGTAAGTACTGAAGTTGTCTAACACAGACTCATGATTTTCATCGAGATCTGAGGGAGATCTTCAGAAGACCCATCCTTAATCCCCGTAGCTGATGTCTGAACGCTAGCATTTGAAGAAAAAGAAAGAAAACATTTGCAAAGGATTATATATGAGTTGTGGGACACGGGAGAGCTGCCTGGCTGACAAAAGTACAAAGCCCCATCATTGCAAACGGTTTCTTGTAGGCACCTGAAAGTCAGTCTCACCCAAAAGCCCAGGAAAACTGCACCACAGCCTGTCACCGGCTCCCTGGGGCTGGAGCAAAAAGCACCATCTTAGCAGCAGAAAACAAAGCAGCAAAATTACCACCCCTGCTGAAATATGTCAAATTGCTAATGAAAATGAAAACATACCTTTTTTTTTTTTTTTGACCTCAGGTGACAGGGATTTTCACATCACCGTTGTAGATGATTCTCTCGGGTACCTAATTTAGTAAATATATTAAAATAAACCGTTATTAAAAGGAATATTTAACATTGCAAAGCCTGTCTTTTGTGCCACTATGGTACAGAATAGGACCTTTTATATGCAAATCTAAATTAAATTTAGAAAGTCTCTTGCACTGTTTATTAACTCTGAGTGCAGAAGAAATGAACACAGTTTGAAGTGAAACATTTCTAGCTCACACATCTAGTATTCACATTAATAACAGGAGATTCTTACTGACAAATTACCTTAAAAACATGTATTTCTGGTTCACCAGTGAATATCAGCTTCTAAGACACAAAAGCATGTAGCTTTCTGGATTTCTTTCTTAATGATCATTATTAGCTGCAATAATGTAATTGGCAAATAATAATCAATTTTTGTACACACTCCATTATTTTCCAGACAGTAGTTTAATAACAAAAGTAGAGCTGTCATTTCTCCCTGCAGTTACTCACACTGTACAAATTCATCCTGTCAACACATATTTAAAATCTAATTTAAAAAAAATTTCAGCATAGAGTGAATCTTTGTACAATAAGTGAGATAAGTCAGCAAGTCAATTCACATTTCTTAAATATGGATATTTGGTTGTGTCCCTTACTGTCAACTTTCTCTCCCTGAGTGTGCATACACAGGCATATACATATATTTTCTATAAACTGCCTGCAGGAATGCTTCAGCTTCGTCCATTTATTGTAACTGTGCAGCATAATCAGAGCAAGAATAGACCACAAGTCTGATTGACTTGAATAAAAAAAATAGGCAAGATGAACTATAGGTGCTTTTCCAGCCTTTTGATTCCAGATCAGCTCTGAAAACAAAAGTCAGTGGCATGGGCTTTTTTGTTTGTTTTGGTTTTCTTTCTTTCTTTCTTTCTTTCCTTCTTTTTCTTCTCTCTCTTTTTTTTTTTTTTTTTTGAGAAAGGGGACCGTGCTTCCATAAATGCAATACTTGGCACCTGGCCCGGGATCTCTAAAAGCAAATGACTCCCATGGACCTTTGGTGTCATTTTCCTCAGGACGACCTCTCCTTTCATGCCAATCGGTTAATTCATCCTGTTATTAATGCACGGGGCCGAGAGGAACAGGTACTCCAGCCTCACACCTGAGGAGCATCCAGAAAGCGATGTGGTCAACCTGCTTTTAGTCTTTGCTGTGACCATCCTGGCCCTAAACCCACAACCATTCAGACACAGCACAGCAGAGCTGGAAGGGGAAGCACCAACTCTCTTCCACTGGCAAGGAGCATTGATTCATTTAGCAGCTTTATTTAACTATCAATTTATTAATAAGGAAGCAGTCAAAGACAGTAAGAGAGTGTGAAGGCAGCCAGAGACACTAAGCAGATTTATTCATTTAAGAAGTCTGATCACTTTCCTTCATTTTATCTGACAGAGTTGGTGTAAGACAGTTATACTTCAATAAGTTTTCTACTCTAAACTGTGCTATTTTAAAAGGATTTCACAATAAAGGAAGCTGAAAGACTGTGCACAGTCTGGAGACTGTATCTGGTGTGACATGAATATAGTATTTTAAACAGATTTAATCTTACAGTATTCCCTCTTCTACAATGACTTTGCAGGAGGAAACCCTACGGAAAGGAAAATCTGTTCATCCCACACCACAGAACACTGAATCGCACTGCAGGCTCCAGCAGCTCTTCCTACATATTAAAATGCTTCCATCAGGGAATTTGGAAGCAGTTAAGTCGGGAGGAGGATTGGGGGGGGAGAGAAAAAAATACTAGGTCTTGTTTGGTTCACTTTCGGGCTCGTTTTTATCGTCACCGATGATGTACTGTCACAGCTTTATGTGCTTGAGAGAGCAGGAGCTGTCTGCAGTGGAGACACCTCAGCTTCAGAAGCTGATACCAACAAATACCCTGATCCCACCCCCATCCCCTCTAGCAGCGACAGTCCTCTGCCAAGGCCTTGGCAAGAACTTTCGTCTCAAAATTGGAGAAGCAGGGTTCAGCCTCTGGAAAGTGAATCTGCCTGCTTTCTTACAGAAAAGGGCTTTAAGTTAATCATACACACATTCCGAGGTACATCCACATAGACTTGTGAAACTCAGCCTCGGCAAACGCCGCTGACCGTACTTCAGATTCTTTAAAAGCCATGAAATGTAAATCCTGCCTGCTCCCATTCCTGCTCCCTGCAGAGATATCAGGGCCTGATCCAAAATGTCATTTAAAAAGCTCCCTTTGGTTGCAGTGGGGTTTAGATTAGTCTCTGTATGAGCACAGATGTAAAGGAAAAAGAAAGGAAGGAAAGGGAAAAATGTAAGGAAAAGAAAGGAAGAAGAAGGAAAGAAAAAGAAAGGAAAAGAAAAAGGGAAATGAAAAGAAAGAAAAGGGAAATGAAAAGAAAGGAAAAGGGAAAGAAAAAGGGAAAGAAAAAGGGAAAGAAAAGAAAAAGGAAAAGGAAAAGAAAAAGAAAAAAGAAAGAAGAAAAGGGAAAGAAAAACGAAAAATAAAAATAAAAAGAAGAAGAAAAAAGAAAAATAAGGAAGAAAGGAAAGGAAAGGAAAGGAAAGGAAAGGAAAGGAAAGGAAAGGAAAGGAAAGGAAAGGAAAGGAAAGGAAAGGAAAGGAAAGGAAAGGAAAGGAAAGGAAAGGAAAGGAAAGGAAAGGAAAGGAAAGGAAAGGAAAGGAAAATAGAAAAGAAAAGAAAAGAAAAGAAAAAAAGAAAATAGTGTGACCAAACGCGAGGGAAGTGCTCTGTGGACATACCTAGGGCCGGGCAGCCCGCGGGAGCCGCCGGGTGACACACCGCTCTGGATGCGCGGACGGACGGATCCATAGTTCCGCCCAGACTCCCCTTTTGTTCCAGGGATGGGTTTTAGAGACAAACAAACAAGCAAGCAAACAAACAGACGATGCGGCCCTCACCTTCTCGCCCCTCCCGGCCCGCCCTGGCCGTGGTGGGACCCCGGGGCTGGGCAGCCCCTCCAGCCCACGGGCCCGGGGGAGGGCCGTGCCCGGGCCCCCCGACGTGGCGACCCTGCCAGAGAGTCCGGCAGCCCCCCAGAGACCCCCGCCGGCCGCGGCCCCGGTAGGCAGCTCCTCAGGGAAGAGGGGAGTTGCATCCTTGTAAGACAGCCCCAGCCAGGGTCATTCTCGTGCTGCTGGAAGCAGGGACGTGAAAATCCGCCAAAACCCTCCCAAATCCTGCTGCTCCCCCGGCCGAGGTGGTTGCCGGGCTGGCGGCAAGGCAGCAAAGGTGTGTGGGTACTCAGCCACACCCCACACCACACTGTCCCGACACCCTGCAGCCCTCGGGGACACCCACGTTTAACACCGAACCCCAGGGTCTGAGGGTCAGGGTCAGGGAGACGCCTCCACCTCCAACCTTCGGCATCTCTGCTGTATCAGGGACAAGCTGGGAAAACGTTGCTCAGGTTTGTGGATCTCTATGAACTAACAAATGAGAGCAGCACGCAGGGACACTCCATCCTCTACCCCCGTTGGAAACTTGAGGACACTGCTCGATTTGCTATTTACTGGGGCTTTTCTTTCTGCGTGGTGGAGAAAGACCACTTCTAGCAAAGTTCTGCTCTGGCTTTGATTCCCTCCATACAAGATGTGGTATAGAGATGCATTAAAAAATAGTTACAATGATAATAAGAAAAAGAAAATCATGTCACAAAGTCCACAGGGATTCAAACCAAGCAAGGCAAGCTCCGTCCTCGTCACTCACTGCACCACGGCTACAGGCCCGCACACTTCACTGTCATCGAAGTGGCACAGGTTTAAAAGCCAGACTTCGGGGGGAAAAAACTGGGTACAGCAATAGTGAAAGAAAATTATCATTTCAGAGAGCAGTGAAATACAGGCAGTGGGCACTGAGGGTACTTACACATTGCCACACTGTGCCGGGTCAACCTGATAACGGTGGTAGATAGCTGGGGATGGAGCTGCCTGTCTGCCAGCTACAGCCTCGCAGATCCCTGGCCTTTTGCTTTTCACTTGAAAAGTTAATTCACATCCTGGACTATTTTTGCATTGTGTTGGCTTAGAGCTCACATATCTGAATGCACTCAGCCCTCAGAGTGACAAATGTTATTCTCGGTCCTCCCCCGCAATTTCAGGCAGTCAAGAATTAGATGCGGCAGAGTGTACACTATTTTAATCTATTGATTTGTACCTGCTGTGCCTGAAAAAATTCATTAGAGGAGCCTTAAAATTATGAAGTGGTTGAATGCTCAGCTCCCTCCCAAAAAGACAAATTGTCTCAATAGCCGCTCACCTCTGCCACATTCTGGGGTTGTGCTACATCGTGTTATTCACACTGAGACCTGCACTTAAAACAGATCTTTGAAGCATTTGGTTACAGGCAGTGTGCGTGTGTGCGTATAAGCAGGATTGGTTTTTGTCTGAGCTGAGCAAACAAAATCTATCCCACTCTCCATAGCTACCCCTGGAATGGCCAAGCGTCATGGCAGCCGCTCACAACACAGCGATTCGGAAAGAGGGAGGGAAACAAGTTTATTAAAAAATCTTAATTCCTAACATTGAAGTATGTAGGATTATTTTTTTTTTCCTGCGTGAAATTTTAAATTCAGCCATCTGAACAGGTGTCAGAAACAGTGGGTCCATTTAGCTCCTCTGATGATCGGAGTAATAAATATAGAGGATTTCCTTTCAATGCAGCACATGCTGAAATGACACCAATGTAGTTCTGGCATCTGAGCAGATAATTCTGATATATGCATCATTTCCTCCCTAAATCCAGGAAGCAGCTACACTCTCTATCTGATATTAGTATATTATGTCAAATAGAAATTGGTATTAAAATTATGAATGATTCTAGATCAAGAACTTCCTACACACTACGCAGAGGGAGGGGGAGGAAACAGCTGCACAAAAGCTTTCGGAAGGGAAAGGAAAAAAAGAGCTGGGAAAGTTCATTTTTTAAACTGAAAATTTGCTGCCATGTTTCGGAGGGGGAGTTTTCAAGTGACATTTTGATTCAGCGCTGGCATTTTTGTTTTAAAAG